CATCATTGCAACATTTCTTGGCTCCTCTCTCTTCCCCTCTCTTGCTCTCAGTGTGGGAGTGGGAATAGCCTAGAGTAATGTGCCTATATTTTTTTTTTAATAGATAAGTAAAACTCTGGATCGAAATCAAGCTAAACAGTAATAAAAAAATGAATGAGACAAAAATTAGGTCAGGTATATCTATCTACCTGGCTTCAAATAGGAAATATTGTGTTTGTGCTGTACATAGATTTCAGGAACACACTAATATTCAGATTATTCTGGTATCATGGAAGTGTTCTAGAACATTTGGTGGAATCACTGTTCTACCTATTTAAAACTCAAAGAAAAAGTAGAGCATTAATAAGATTACTGCAGTGAGGATTGAGCAGAGGTTGTAATAGGCAAAATACTTAGAAACTTTACAGTCTCAGTCATCCTTATTTCATATTTATCTGTTCATAACTTTGTGTCTGATACCCAATCCAGGGAACACTGAGGTCAATATAAAAGTGCCATGGACATTATTAAGAGGAGGATTTCCTTTCTGTTGAAAAGATTATATCTAATACAACAAAAAAAAAATGTTCAACGATGAAGTGAGTTTCAATTGGAAAAGTAAACAGAGTAAATGTATCTTTGAAAATTCCATTCTGAGTAAATAGTAACTGCAAAAAAATCTCTAAAAAGGACATATAAATGGCATTTATTGTGAAAAAGATATATTATCAGAAACTGATTAAAATAGAGAGTAATATAACATGAAAACTGATCAGAACTAGGCATGTCTAGATAAATTGAAGTGAAAAGGTCACTTTTTCTCTCTTTGCTTACTTACTTTAATTTGTAAAGGTAGGAGTTCAATTTCTGAATATGTTAAATAGAGTGATATCACTAAGGTTATAAAACAAAAAAATCAATAAAATAACTGAAAATGAAACGTTGTCAGTCAAAGTAAACAACATTATTAAAAGTGTAACAGCAAGATTTCCTGGTGAGAAGTATAGATAGAAAATACAGCAAAAGATCTATTTGACTATATTGGATCACTTTTGGGACTTGGAAAAACAAAAAGAAATTATTCAAGAATGAAAAAGATCTGGATGTAAGGTAATAGAACAAGAATAGTAGACTAATCAGATGTGATTGGTTTCAAGCAATAAAATTAATAAGAAAGGTTGTATAAATAAATTGAAGAACAAAATACCTTACTCATCAGAAAGGAAAACAAATAGTAGACAACACAGTGAAGGCAGAAGTATAGAGTTCTTTTTCTTAAGTATTTGTAAAAAAATCCATGGTGATTGATTCTTAAAATAGTACTTTTGAAGGTTTTAGGACATAATAGAAAAAGAGTGGGTTAAATGAAATGTAGGTAAGTCAAATCATTAGACAGTTTATGAGACACTACCTAGGGTGACTTTCACTAATGGGACTTTGGGTCAGGTTGACTTTGAATTGATCACAAGTGGGAAAATAGACTTGATCTTGTCATATCTGGTGCTATGTCACGAGGCAAGAAACAAGACTTAGCACATGAGCTGCCAAAAATTTCCACCAGCAGTCATTTCCTTTCAGTATTTTGGTTTATTATTCCTTTTGATTGTAACACATAGAAACTCTCCTAGGAAAATAAGTTCTCCTAGATGGGGTCTTGCTGGGTCTTCCCTCTTATAGGATTTGGTTTGTAATATCATAAAGAGTGTAGTCATATGGAGACCTCTTGATAGCGAATATTTGTTAAAGGTAAGAGCTATACCTAAGAATTAAAACAAACCCCTGAATAGGACAACTGAATCTTAGTTTCAGGTTATGAACTGTGGAATAAAGGACTATCAGTCAGATAAATGCCAGAGTATGGAAAATCTGGTTTATGGTGACTGAAGAAATAGATCAAATCTAGACAAATGAAGTAAGATGGCAAAATTCCCCCATATCCTCTTCAATTTAATTTGAATCTTATGTTCTCATACTGTAAAATTCTTTATCGTATCTGAATGACAGCTATAAGCAGTCTACTACCACACCTGTGTTACTTCATCCATTCCCTAAAGAAAGAACAAAGAAAAATATTTATGCTTTGGAATGTGCTTATTGTAGTATTTCTATACGTATGTGGTACAAGAGAAAAATTCTAATTGATCACAGTCATAAACTGATACCTCAGAAGAACAGTGGAAAGAACTAATGATTGACGAATATATTGGGAGCATGATTTCTTGTGTACCTCCGCTGTCCTAAGCTATGCTTATAAACCAAAGGCACAGTTCTATTATACTAATGCAATAAGCTATGTATTAATGCAGTTTCCTCTCTGTTGCAGTTACATGTAGATCTTGTGATCAAATTTCAGAAAGAAATCTACCTTATAGTGGCTTCATTCTGGACATTGTATAGATATTAATTTTTAATTGGTGATAATTGTGCCTCTTCTTCAGAATAATCCTAATACACTGAGACCTTTCTAACTGTGACTGATAAAAAGTATTTTTCATATATGAAATATTTTTTTACTTAGTCATGTTAAGATAAAATAATACCCCCCCAAATATCAATTAATCTCTTTGCTTTAGCTAGATTTATTGATGTGGTATCTGTACGTATAAACAAATCGATGTCTCTTTTAATTATTTCATCCTGTTCCTGCTGACTCGTGTTCTATTTATCATTAATATATGTGTGTGTCAATATCTCCCCACTCCATTTCTATTCTTTTACTCTTTTGTTTGGTTTTATGTGTGCTAAATATTTCATATGTGAGTTCCTATCTTACCTTTTGCATTAAATGAGGTAGAAGTTTATAACTGTTTTTCAGAGGTTAATTTCAATCTTTAGGGAAAACGACAACAAAAACCTAATTAATTGTGGAGTTGTTATTATTTCTCTATTCTTTTGTAATGCTGTAGCATAGAACTGAGTCTGTACTTACACCTGCTTCTGGTGTATAATCAAAGTAAGTCTCAAGTTATGTATAGCAACTAATACAAAATTAGAACTTGAATACTACTTACATACTACAGGAAAAAAGACCTCTCAAATTCCTGTTTTTCTATAGTTTAGTTGCCTTAAACTGACAGGACTGTTCTAGTAACCACATATTATTTAAGAAATTCTTTTAGGACATTTAAATGACAAGTAGATGAAGTTTGTCAATGATTACAGTGAAAAACACTGGAAGTCTGTCAAATCAAGGATCCAATAAAAGCTATTTTACCTGCATACCTATACTGTATTGATTTTTAATATATATATAGTATATATAGTATATATATATGATATATACATTCAATGGAAAGCTTAAGGTAGCTTAGCCTCTGTGGAAATAATTTTTCTGTTCTTACAAGCTGTCTAAGTTGATTAGACCTCAAAGGAAGAGTAAAGAATTTTATGTTAATGTCTTTCCTCTGGTTGTAGAAACTACTGTAGAGCAGTTTACCCACACAATACAAAGAATCTGAAAATAACCTATTGTGAACCAAATTAAACTGAGTCTATAGAGGAGTTAATGCATTAGGGTGTTAAACTTGAGCTGTTTTCTGTCTTGTACTTGTAGTTTTAGTTTTTTCTTCTTTTTTTTTTTTTTTTTTTTTTTTTTTTAGTTTCAACATATTAAATTCTCAGGGGGTCACCCTGTCAGCCTCAGTTCTGTGGCCTGGATTTAGTTGAATCAATCCTAATTGAAATTCTGCACAGGTCTGGTATTCTGTGGAGATTGCAGATGAATGACAGTGCAGTGGCAGGAAAGATAAATATGCTGGCAAATGAGATCCAGGCTCTCCACAGAGGATGGAATAAATTACTTTACCAATACAGTGGATGTAATATGCTGCAGAAAGAAAGTGAAATTGAAGCTAGTTTAATGCAAGGTTTGTTAAAAAATATGCATAAAAAAAGAAACCAACAATACATTTAAGATTTACTTAAAATACAGATTTGTGATATGCACGGCATTTAGGCACTTCTATTGTGAATAATGATCAATGCATACACTTTAGTTTCATTTATGCAGAAAACAACTTGCACAATTTAAATTCGTGCAGCGTTCTGTGTGTAACTCAAGACCCAGTAGTAACTGTGGTATGGCATATTGATTAGTAATTTGATAAATATAAAAAATGGCACACTGAGTTTAAGGTGCTTCATGCAAAATGTATTTAAATGACCTTGGTTAATTAGCGTGAATAGCTTTGAGGCACTGCTGCCTGAATGAAAGACAATTTTAGAGTCCAGAGATTTAAGAGATTTCATGACTGGATGAGCAAAACTTAAACCAGGGGAAAAGAGCAAACATTAATTTTCATAGTAATTAAGGTGAATTAGATGACCTGATAGAACTTTTTTCAATCTTCTTGTTCTGTACTGTTCCTCTCAGCATACTGCCTCTTACTTCTTTCAGTCTAATTGCTATGTTTCTTAAGTAAGCAGGATTTCAGTACTTTCCTCAGAAAATTATATGAGAGTCTAATGAATCAGAAAGTATTTTCTAACATACATACAAAATTATCCTTTTCTTAATGTAAGCTATCACTTCTTTAGGTATAGTCTGTTGTGCTACTTGAAATAATTCCTTTCCTTCCTCTGTGCTTATATCCACCTACAATATATAAGTAATCACTTAACAAAATTATATGAATATGCATCTTTTATTTTCATCTCAGAAATCAGTTTCTTCCATTATCTAACAGCACTATTTGATTTGTCTTATTCTGAGCTAATTTGTTCATAGTAGTGATGTGTCACAGTCTCCATACTGGAGTTCTAATCCAGGCTGAGATAAACCTCGCCATCTGTAAATTCTGATATACATAGGGAATTTTCACTGTCTATTTTCAATCTGTTGTTTCATTCTGCAGCTGAATTTGTTTTCCCTGGTCATACTTGAAATCTCCTTTTATTGGTACTGTTTTCCTCCCAATGAAATTGGTTTTAATCCTTAATTTCACTGGAAGTGCTAGCTCGTGCTCCTCTGAGTTCAATCTTACTTTATTTTCAGTCTATATTATAAAAAGCATGTTCAGAGGTAATTTGGCATAGATCCAAGTGAGCATGACTCAGTGAAATCACTGTAGGCTGCCTTGCAAATAAAAGAAGTATATCTTATACAACAAGTGGAAGAAAGTTGTCTGGAATGGAAGCAAGAATGGTAACTCTGATTTGAATAGCCTTTTGTGAAGGAAATAAAATGTGCCTGATGGTGGCTAGTGAATGTCTACAGCCAGACAGACATTGCCATACATCGGAGTGGCGCTTGCATTATCTAGAGTGGTCAGGTAAGAAGAACTTTCTTATTACAAAATTAGGAAAAGTTTCATTAGTTTTTAATTCTGACCTTGACTAAATCACCCTACTTTTGGTCATATTGATCAGTACTAGCTATCCCATTTAGGAAGACCTCATCAACTGAGCTAGAAATTATGAATTTTTAAGATTAATTAACAGAATATTTCACTGGATGAGATGACTGTCGGTATACCTCATAGTATAAGATTTTTCAGTTGTAACAAGGGTTTTTGATTAATTACTTTTTAATGGAAATATTCTATACAAAGCAAACCGAAGAAAGTTTTTTGAAGCGAAATCCAGCAATATTGTAACAACTGCTTCTTATTGTTGTTCTTTCTGTATTGTTTGGGGTTTTTTTTGACCAATTCTAATACATATTATCAAAGTGTTGCTATAGAATAAAGGGACAATAGGTACAATGATAAATAATTATTTTTCTTCTGCTCATCTTAGTTTGTTGGCTGGAAGTGACACCCTTTCTTTGTCACTATTCTGCTCTGTTTTTTGTTTCTTACAGAAACATGTCCATTCATTGACTTTCAGAAACTGAGTGCTCCAATTTACTACAATAATATACTGAAATTGCTGTGCTACTCTTCAGTTTCTTATTGATTCCATGTCCATAGCTAAACATATATTTTTTTCCCCTCCAAAACTACCATGTGAGATTTTGATTCTTTGAGGAGACTATTTGTTTACTGGCTAAGAAATAGATAGCATCGAGACACAAAACATCCTTAGTTTATTGTTTTTCACTACAGGTAAAACAGTTGAGTAAAACAACCACTTGGAAAGTCATAGTACCTATCTATGATAATTTATAGGTCAGCATTTTGTTATTTTATAGTGATCATATACTTTATGTGTGAATACTGACAACTTTCCTCTAAAATGTATGTGGAGATACAATCAAAGTTATATGGGCTTAGACTACCTTATAATGATATATTTGCTTCTGTGCTGTATGGCTTTTGGTAAAAAAAAAAAACCAAACACCAAAATTAAAAAAAACCCTAAAATATCTATCCTTGCACAAAATCTTCACTTTGTGGTTCATGAATTTTAGGAATAAAAATTCTCTCATTAGAATTTTAGTAGAATTAAAATTATACAGGTGAATTTGAAAACTTGCATAACCATGTTGCTTTCACTGTAAAAAATGATCAAGAATGAAAGTCTTAGTAAAGTTCCCTCTGTTGGTACATTTAATTTTCTACAACTGGCTATGGTTTGATCTTGTCTTGATTTCCAAGCAAACTTGAGACTTGGGGTCTTATAAACCTTCATGGAGATGCTTCACAGCATAGCCATGGAATGTGACACAGCAGTATGAGCCACTCATCAGTCAGTGATATAGGTGAGACAGCTAAACCTTGTGCTCTACCCATGAACTTCTGATATCACAAAGCTCTATACAGGCTACTTTTTAAAGTCCTGTTTTCCTCTAAATTCAAGTAGCATTTCTCTTATTTGATCTATTCGCCTAGTTCCCACTGCGCTGTATCTTATCCTCTTATCCTCTGAGATTATTTATTTGTATATTTAGGACTCTAATAATGCAGGTTTATGCTCTCTAGTACTGAATTAAGATAGTTTTTAATTTAATTTTTTATTTATTTTTAAATGGATAAGGCTTCAAAAAACAATGTATTGATAGACAAGTAATATAAAAATGCACATAATACTGATAAAAATACTACATTACCTTTCCTCTATATTAGTCCAAAGGGCACTGCAGTATTAGTCCTAGATATATTTCCTTATACTAGTTATGATGAGTAATGACATAATGGTCCTGAGAAATTCTGTCTTTATGAGTTTGTTTTAAGCCATATATTTTTCAAGTTTAAGTGATGATTTTATGCACATTGCATTTTAACAAAACTCAATAAAAATATTCCTCTCTCGCTTGTGCGATTTTCAATTTTTACTAATATACGCCTCATTTACAGTAGGAACCATATGCTTGTACGCACACTCTATAGAGCTCTTTCAGGAAGTATCAGAAAGAATTTAAACAACAAAAAAAATATGTGCTCCAGACACATAAGTCAGCTTACTAGAAGACAAAATAATTCTATTTCATAAATCATTTCCTGAAAATGGGAAATTTGGTATTGCTTCTACTTTATTTGAAAGTGATGACATAACAGGATCCACAAATTTGTTGATAAAGGATCTTTTTATTCATCTAACTGATTCAAATCAAGTTGATTCAAATGAAGTCAATAAAATAAGATCATCTGTGTTTATTCTCCAAAAAAAGTCAGCATTTCTCAATAATGAGAGATCAAAGAGGAATGTTGCTATTTTGAGAAATGTAGAAAAATGTAGAAACAACAAATCAGCTGTTTCTGCTGTTCAGAAAGGAAAACTGTAATCTGGTAAATGTCAGAGAAGTTTTCAGAGTCAGAAGACAGTAAATAAGCTTCAGATTGGAGGGTTCAACTTAGTAGCTTCACCACTAGATAGAGATTGATGATACGGAAAAAATATTTACTGTTTTTACAAGTGTTTTGTGCTAACAGGAAAATGCAAATGTCTCATAGCGTACTTCAGTTAGGCCAATCTTCCCCAAAAGACTGACTGCTACATGTATGAAAGAACTAGTGGAAAGTTCGTTAGGTACTCCAATATGAAAATGTATCAAATAGCCACCAAATTTGAATAGCATTTGTTATCAAAGCGGTGCTGTTAGAATTTGTAATGATGTTCTGCAGAAGCTCTGCTCACTTTTACTGACAAGCAGGCTGGCCAAATAAACTGTCCCTCTCCTGGTATTTGTGCCATGTGGCAATGATGTGACCGACCTGTTAGCAGGCAGCATGCCATCCCAACAGATGGGTATGAATGCAACTAGCCAAGGATGTTTTCATTCTATGTGCAGCAGATGTACACGCCTATTAAAAATGTTGTTCCCTGCTGAGAGAATCAAAATAGCAGTTTGCCTTGAACCTCTTTTTTAGAGTTGGTAATATATGGCACCACTAACCCAGCTCTGAACTTGATTGACATGGAGTATCATGAAATACTGTGAGGAGAGAGCAGGGAGTTCAAGGTAGTCTCCTACACTGTCATTATTGAGTTCTTCAGGAATTTTAAATTTTTTTGATAGACATTATGCCAATAATACTTGACACAGAAGAAGCCATAGTGCTAATAGAATGCCCTCTATGGCTAACTGTATTGAATATGCAAGTTGTACCTAAAGAGCCTGTAAAAGTTGCACTTGCAGTATTTCCCTTCTGGGTGGAAATTAATTGCAGTCATTACTTTAATGATCAAAGCGCAAAGAGGGCAACAAAAGCAGGCTCTTTCACTGTATAAGTAACAGAATATATAATCTCACTAACAACCATATCTTTTTAACTAGTGTAATATACCAATAGAAATGGTATAATAGAAAACACAGGCTGTTTTTCTCAGAATTATTTTAGCTTAACCAAAGAGACAATATACAGAATATTGGCTTTCAGATAGTAGCTTTTTGGACACATCTGAATTTTTGTTATTTGGAAAACAAAACAGTTAAGAAACACTATTTCAGATTATTTCAGATGCTCATATTCCAACAAACCCACGACTTTCTGACAGTATTTAAAAGACTTCCACCGGTGCTATTATGAAGTTCCTTTGAAAGAATTTGCTGAGAAATGGGATGAAGTGAGACTGTGAATTGTGATACTCTATATCAACAAACCTCCGTCTTTAAGCCAGGGAGGATAGCAATTCAAGGAGCACTACAGGGTGGGAAATGCCTTGCCATTTAGATGCAGGCTTTACTGCTGCCAGGATATATAATGCATTTTCAACCTCTATTCAGAACTTGAGCAAAAAAGGGAAGCATTTCAGTCTTTTCAAAATGCTCTATTACCCAGTCTGGAAACAAACGATAGAAATTTTGCTGCTAACAGAGTTTTAGTTTCAGATCTTCAGTTGCTACTGAATTAAAAGTTTGTAACCTGGCTCAAACCTAGTCCACATACACTTTGCATCTTTGGGAGGTGCTTGCTCTCTAGGATACTACCCTCTCTCTGAAAGTATAAATAAGTTCTGTAAGAACATTAACCCCCCTCAATTTACCTAATTCCTACTAGTTTGTAAAATATATGAATCTCAGTTTAATGAAGCTGGTTACTCCCTTGTTTAATCCATAAGAGTTACAGCTTCTAAAGCTGATAATAGCTTCTGAAGCTGATAATGGCTACTGTCTCCATTCATAATCCATCTTGCATTGTGTCAAAACTTAGAGAGATTTGCTGGTAGCAAAGCTAAACCAGATTTACTTGCATGAAAGTGATGAGGATTTGGAACACAACAATAAATTCACCTTTTCATTTTTAAACGGTCTTTAAAGCCTGCATTTCTAACCCTCTTCCATACCGATTAAGTTCCACCCTTAGATCTTGCCTGGATATGATCTGACAGAAAACTTCCTGTAGTGAAAACCCTCTATGTAGCCTAAACCCCCAATCTAGGCAGTACAAAATTAGAAAATATCTTTATCTGCTGCATCCTATTTCTCAATGTTTCTGATCCTTTCCAGAATTGTTATATTTTTACTCTCCATAGAAAGAGATGCATAGCTAATTTCAACTAAAATCCATGTAATCTCTTTATTATTTCTTCCCATTTGGCCATTTAGGGGTTGGGCAAGCCAAATATAAAAATGTTTTCCCACATATTAATTGTTTATGAAGCTCTAGATATAATTAATTGTTCCAGATCCAGTTCTGTGCATGTATTATTCCACCACCACGTATTATTTTCCTTGTTTGTTTGTTGAGGTTTTTGTTTGTTTGCTTGTTTTTGGTTTTTTTTGTTAAATACTCTTAGAGTAGAAATATATTTTTTCTTAATTTTAGGGGATTATGTTATGCAAAGTTTTCTTATAAATATTATAGATAATATGTATATCTCTATAAAATATAGGTATTCTAGATTTAATAAGACCAAGTGCCAGGTCCTGTACTTTGGCCACAACAAC